CACATTCATGTAAACTTAAGACTTAATTTAAAAAATAATAATAAAGTCTAAATATAAATGAGTTTTCTACACTTTCAGAGTTGCAAAAGCACCCATATCCTATTATTTCCTAGTTTCTATTTGGACAGATTACTGGACATATGATTTCTGGATATATTTGTCTTTTGAATTAATTTTTTAAATATAATCACACATTTTTATTTTATTTTATTTTGCAAAAACAACTGGGTTTGCTACATCAGCAACACGTCTAGTTCAATGTGGGGGAAAAAAACCCACATCAGTGTAAAAATACATGAAAAGTAACATTGCTGGGAAACTCAGTGGATAGAAAATATTTTTCAAATTTAATTTTTAAATTTCTATACATTTCATATAGGAATAGTAACCCTTCCTTACTGGACGATGTCTAGTTCTTTGTCAGATCAAGGTCATTTTTCTAGCTATAGTGATAATATTGTTTGCATCTTCCTTTGTTATTCCTTTTCTGGGCCCAACTCTTCTTTTTTTCATTAAGGATTTCTGCAAAAGCAATGGGCAGATTCCCTGCCTCCAAGACACCCCTTAGAGTCTGGTGAACCACATGTTTATCTGGCTCTTGTAATGGGTTGTTAAAAGCACTTGTTCACCAGATATTTTCTTTTTCTTTTTATTTGTAGATTTAGAAGTATTTTAGCAGGTGTACATTTGCATATAAAAGAGAATAAAAGATAAGAAGTTGAGGCTTTTTCTTTCTCCTCTCCTCAACATCATCTCTCTCCTACCTCCCTTTATTCAGCATGTTTTCACTTTCTTTCTCTAGCAGTTTCTATTTTCTAGACACAAAATGCATATCAAAAAGAAAAATAAAGTCTCAGTGATCCTTCAGCACTTTGCAAGAAGATAGATGATTGGGTTCAGGCGGCTTATGAAACAAAGTAGAGAAAAATATATTTATCTCATTGTGTCATCAGTCTGGAATTAATAGACAAGGTTAGATTTTAACCTCCTGCAGCTGGATACTACATAGGATGCGACCCCTTGCCTTGTTTTATGTTTTAAACTGCAATATTTTCTACTTTGTGAGCTAAATCTTGACAGAAATGTGAGTATATAATAGACTTTTGACTGAGAGTTCAGAACTGAAAGCCTGAGCATGCATGTGTTTTCCTGTGTGTACCAGAACATTCTAACTGAAAATAATTGTATTCTTTAGAAATGTTTGTTTTTTATCTCATTTTTGCTACTCAGTATTTTCAGGTTTAACATTATGAATGGAAGGAAGTATTTCCCTGGAGTTCTAAATCACAGGCTAGAAAGTGAAGTCCTAAGTGGCCACCCAATCCTCAAATCTTCAGATTTGCAGTTTACTTGCACTTGAGAAAACTAAATTCTTTTTCCCTTAGAAATATATGAACCTCATCCCTACCTTATTTATAGCAGGCTAACTTGAACTTTTAGATTTGTTACTTTTGTGCCTCTGTTTGTTCATTCATTCATTTAGTAACTATGAATTTACAGCACAACCATCCCTACCTTATTTATAGCAGGCTAACTTGAACTTTTAGATTTGTTACTTTTGTGCCTCTATTTGTTCATTCATTCATTTAGTAACTATGAATTTACAGCACAACACAGTGCAGCTTTTAATCACTTGGTTTGTCAGTCTTCCTTCCAGAAAAGCCTGGGCCTGAGTTGCCACAGACCTCATGTCCGTAGTTTTACCTTTTTGATTCATGAAGTTGGCATCCTGGCCAAGTCTTCTAGGCTGTTTCAGGAAGATGTGTTAATTGTTTCAGAACTCCTAGCAAAAAGTATACTCGCCTCTAGTCTGAAACCTGGTCCTTATAGAGAGCAGCTTAAAAATCATACAGCTGTTGTAGCCTCCCTTGATAATATGTTCCAGGGTCTCAGTCCTTTCAATAAGAAAGCTTTTCCTAGTGTCTAGCTTGTGTTCTTTGGCTGCAGTTTTCCCGTAAGTGTTCTTGTCCACTTTCAGTGAACAAAATAAATTGTTCACTACCATCTAGTTTTGAGATTGCAAATATGTTCTGTTTGGTCTGGGCAGTGTTTTTGAAAAAAGAAAAAAGAAAAGGCAACGTCTGGCAATACTAGGCCCACTTTTCCACCCAGCAGCTGACTCCTGTGGACAGGGCATGTACTCTCCAGCCTGCCACAGAGTTCTCCCTTCCCTTTGCTCCCACCTGCCCAGAGTCACTTATCTGTGGTTCCTGCTTGGTCCCAGAAGCCATCTGCATTCACAGTCCCTGCCCTGTCCAGTCTGTTTGCAATATCTGAGTCCTCAAACCCTCCTTCCTTTCTCCAACTTTATTTCCATAAAGGCTGTGTGTCCTTTACCCTCTCCTAATTTATTTTTAGCCAAACCTTAATAATTTTGTTTTTCCTGTTTGGCTCATCTCCCAGCCTTTCATATGTCATTTTGTGCAGGAATTCTAATTAAACTAAGGGTGTGGTACCTGCCATGGGAAGAATGACACCAGTTTTGATGTCTCTTCCTTAACACAGACATCCTATTGTTAGATGGCAGCACATGCTGTTCGCTCCACCCCCTCCAGTACTGCCTCGGTTAGTGTTTATTCCTCTGAGTGACCACACTTAATTTTTGTGCCTTTTAGACTTCACTTTGCCCATAGACCATTGCAGGAAGCATGCACTGGGGTTGGGGGTGGGGGAGTGCCCAACAGTCCTCAGCCTGACTTTGCCAATCCTTCATTACTCGGGTCAAGACAGCTGCATCCCAGATAGAAATTGTCCTGGCAGGCTTCAGTGACTCTCTGGAGACGGGCCACAGAAGGTTTGATGGTGAAATACCAGTGAGGAGTATAGTTGGGAAGGGGTTGGGATCTGGTTGAATGGGACTGGAGAGTGAGCCCTCTCCCTCCAAGACTGTTGGTCACCTGAAAGCAGATATATGCCACCTTGAAGGTGAAGCTCAGTTACAGAGCCCAAGTCCCTTCAGGAGGAAGGGAAGGAGACCAGAATGTAAAATGGGTAGATCATGGAAAGGGCCCATCTTTTCCAGAGTATTAAAATGGCCCCTTGCTGCTAAAAGTGAATTTACTTCACATTTGTAATTTCCTCCCTTGCAAAATTCAGACCAGTAATAATATCAGTACTGTCTTGTATTTGGGTAGAATGCTTGATCTTCTCAAATCTGAAATTACCTCACAACTACTAGCTTGATATTTCTCCTGAAAATCCTTTCCTGGAAGTCAGTGACATGTGTTTTCATGGTTTCTGAGAAGCAGGAGAGCCGTCTCACTGGAGTCAAGTGATTTACCTTAAGACAGTAGACAGAGGAGTTACAAACCCCAGTTCCAGCTTCCAGTGGCCAGAAACCTTTGTTTATCAAGCTGCTCTTTTTCTTTTTAAACTTCTATCTTTTCCTTGACCAAATAAGCTTAATTGAATGCAGAAATAGCATATTATCATTAAGATCTGGACTTGTATACTAAAAGCTGAAAAACTTTTTGATTGATTTTCATAAAATAAAAACAAAATAGGGCATTTTCACCTTTTTTTTTTTAAGTGATTCTTTAGCTTTAGAATGCAGACACTCTGTCTGATTTTATTCATATTTTAACCCTCCCAAAATTTCCTTACAACACGTCTGAAGTAATATGGAGATAAGAATTAATTGGGGAGTATTACAACTCATTCTGTTGGAGCCATCCTAGTGCTGTGGGACTAACCTCCGCCAGGAAAAGAAGTTGCACAAAATGATGGAGGTACTTTCTCCTCTGCATGCCCTGCATCCAGTGTTTTCTTTATTAGATTTTTCAAAATTCTAGTTCCAAAACACCAAATCGATTTCCCCTATCCAGCAGTGTTAAAAAGTGTTGCCTTAGGATTCATTATCTTCAGAGTTGAGTCCCTGATCTGTACATATTTTAATTATATAGCATTTAATATTCCAAAATATGATCATTTTAAATACTCATTTTTATCTTGCTTGATTCTCAGTAGGGCAGGATAAGTTATATATTTATTCTTCAGTGTGATGGTAGTTTTAATCCAGTAATAAAGGGCTTGTGGTTAAGTTCTTAAATTAAGCCAGCAAAAGCAGGAATGCAACCAATTGCCAGCCCTGGTGCTGAAAGCAGGAATCCTTTTGTGGCTACATTGAAGATGTGGACATGGATGCTGTTTTGTTATATCTGTGCTAAAACTCTAATCTTTGTGCTCCCTTTCATCCAGGTGCCCTCGAGACTTAAGGCTATGGGGAAGGTTGTGTCACTCAGGTCCCTTATGTAATTTTTGTTTACTGTTTTTCCCAATAGTCTTCCTTAATTTGGCTTACTGCAGATGCTGTTAGAAGCTCTGCACAGCCAGGAGCATCCTGTGAACACGAACTAGGTCCTAGCTGCTGCTGACCCCTCTGGACACCTGGCTTTGCTCCCTGCAAATACACCCTCTCTCTTCATGGCAAGCCTTGGTTAGACTTCCTCATCTGTGGGATTCTAAGCTCATCCTCCTGCCACTACCCTTCCTGACTGTTCCACCAGGCCAGGAAGCACTCCTGAGTTACCTACCTAGGAAGTCAGTGCTGTTTCTGCTGGTTCATTCCTGTAGCTGCTTCTGCGAGGCCTGGAGGGAAGAGAAACTTTTACTGTGGTGTGGAACCTCCCCACAGACCCACTCAAAATAACGAATGGAATTTGCCCACCTCAGATAAACTAATTGCTGTTTCTGCTGGTTCATTCCTGTAGCTGCTTCTGCGAGGCCTGGAGGGAAGAGAAACTTATACTGTGGTGTGGAACCTCCCCACAGACCCACTCAAAATAACGAATGGAATTTGCCCACCTCAGATAAACTAATATAGTCTTGAAAAATGGGTTCAATGAAATTATTCTTTGTTTTCAGAATTTCTAAAAAGCAATAGCTCAAAAAACTAATTTGCATGCATTTGAAAAAGTGTTAACCTCATAGGAAGAATTTAAGCAACTTGTCTCTGAGCAGTAGAAAATTCAGTATTTCTGTGCTTTTTTTTAAATCTATAGAAACAAAAGCCTACCAGTTTCTGAAGAAGTCTATCCTTCAGGATAATACAAATCAAATTGAAGACAGATTTCAGAAGGCAGATGCTTCTGTGTCACAATTCTCAGGTAAGAAAAGGCAGATTGAGCACTTGAAGCATGTCCAGGGGCACAGGGAAGCAGCCAGTGCTGTGTTCAGCAAAGGGTGGTTGTTCTTTGAAGGTTTCTGGAGTTTTCTTTGTATCAGGCTGTCACTAGGTCAGAAAGAAGGAGTACTTTTTCATTCTTAGGGAACAAGTGCTTGGAAGAGCCTTCTGTCTTGGATATGTGCTGGCCCCAGCATGGCGATGGCCCGTCTAAGGCCCTTGGATCCTGCCTGGCATGTCATGATAGTAACTTGTCACTAACAACCACAGGAGATGCTTTTCCCCATATCTCCCAGGTTCTTAATCATCCAATGGGCATGTAATGCTGGGCTGCCCCTCACTAAAATGTTGGGGAATTTTGAGTTATTTTAATGAGAAGACTATAACTCCCAGGAAAGCTATATTTTAAGCTTAAATGTAGTTCCTTATCTAGGATTTTGTTTTCGTTGTAATTTTGTTTTATTTATACTTATTGCACATTTATTATCCTCAATGGTTTTCCTTTTATTACACCTTTTTAAAAAGTAGAAGTCACTTTAATGCTCTTTTTGAGAGTAAATGTATTAATATAAAAGGAAATACACATTAATGACTGAATTATTTTTACTTAACCACCATGCCATAATTCCACCTATCAAAATGAGCAATGATTTCTTAATGTCATGTAATTTCTGGTCAATATTTAGATTTTCCAGTTGTCTGAAAGATGTTTGCTTCAGACAAACTTTTTTGAGGGACATACTTAGGGTGCTTCAGACTTAGCTTTGGAGAACTTTGGAAAACTATTTTCTAGGTAATATTAGTGGTAGAGTCCGTTGCTGCAAAATTCATTTAATTTGGTTATTCTGAGGATTCAGCAGGCCACTGCAGGTTAAGTGCCCAGCACGGTGCCTGATAATAAAAAGCCCCCAAGAAGGGCCAGCCATTGTGGTGGTGGTTGTTATTTGAACTCCCAAACATAAGATATTGTGGTTTGTTGAGGTGTTAAACAGGGCCTTTGTTTTGATGGAGGTCATCATCACTTTGGAAAGATATAACACTTGCAAACTCTTAACTGTTTCCTTTTCATCACCGTATTTACATTCAAGTCATAGAATTAGAATCCAGAAGGATCTCAGAAGATATTTATCCACCCTCCTCATTTTACAAACAGAGCCACAAAAGGGTGATGCCTTGCACAGAGCATTATAGCTAGTTAGCAGACACACATAGTTGGGAAAGCAACTCTACAAAACTGCTTTTGGTAAATATATTTTGGGTAGTTAACTGGACAGCTATAAAGGATGAGTAAATTTGACATAAGTTGTAGTCTCTTGGATATGTATCAAAAATTATGGTACTATTGATATACTAATAATTAACTATTTTAAATTAATTTATTCATAAGTGAAATGACACTTTGTAGGTTATATATAGT